ATATTTTAAATAGCTGGGTTCCACATCGTCAACCAATACGAATTTATCAAAACGAAAGAGTCAAGAGTATTTAAGTGATTCTGATAAACGAAATCGTGCAGATGTTTCTGACGAAAGTGATTCCGATAAACGAAACCGTGCAGATAGTTCTGACGATAATGGAGTAGTTATGCTGTTTTTATGTCTTAATGCATGCCTACAACGACACTTGGTTCTTACCTTTTTGTATCATAAAAAAGGCTATTATTGAAAACGAGACGCCTAGTAGAAGTCCACAAACCGATTTATCGTATATTCCACACTCTTCACCCCCGTCTTCTAGTTCCTTCGAAATGTCCAATAAAGGCAAACCGTATATGTTGAATTATTTCACCGGCCCTGGAATAATCGAGTGGGATTTATCTGAATCTTCGGACAAAGCAAGTATTTGCATTCCTGTTTAACTAATACAAACTAAAAAAAAAAAAAAAAAAAAAAAAAAAAAAAAAAAAAGTATGAACCATTTCTATTTATAAAAATTGGCGATCTTTTTTCATTGGATTTTACATATTCTATCTTTTTATTTTTATTAAATTATCTTTTTTAAACAGTGGGTTTTACGTGATGTCGACATTTCAAGTATATGCTTGAATTATCGTAAAAATGTTATTGAAAAATGTGAATCATTGACGGAAGTGTTAAATGCATATGAAGAACTGTTAATATTATATTAATCATGATATTGTGAATTCAAAACAGCATTGATGTTATCATAACCAAATTTTACTCTTTTGTAGAGCACTTAGTCATATATTTATTTTTAACGAAGATAATCCATATGAAATACACGAATTTTTTGACAAAGATCTCTGGTACTCCATTTTTACGGAGCTAAGAAGTATTTATACATATGCACCACTTCCGAAACAAGTTTGCGAAATGTTTACGAATATTGTAATGGTAATGTATTGATTTAATTATATAATTTATATAACAGTTTCTTTAATAGTTGATTTTTGTTTTAATACTTTAGCTTGCGTGTGAGAAACCAAATCAATATGAGAGAAACATGGCTATAAAAAAGTATTTAAATAATTGCGAAAATTCAAGTGAAGATGAAATAATGATCGATGTTGTCAGAAATCTGTAAGTATAGGTCTTTATATAGTAATTGTAATTAGAGTTTGGATTCAGTTTTATTTTTCATATGTTAAAACGGTTTGAATCGGTTTTAGCTTATGAAAAATAAACTGGTTCCAAACTCTAATTGTGGTTATATTGTGTATATTGTTCTCTATTCCAATAGTTATTTATATTTTGATATCATTCGTGGTTAGGATCAAAAATGAAACCAATCCATTCACTCAAAATTTTTCAATTGAAGACACCCACATACATTATAACGTTGCATCGCTAATTGACCCATTTTTTAAAAGCGAAAAGACCATTATGGATTGGGCCAATAAAATGTCAACATCATCAGCAATGCAAAAAAGACTCTTTGACCCAGTTCTTACCGGCTCTAAACCGGATTTTACTGTTCGCACAATTAATCCTAACAATTCTATAGAATTACTAATAGGCGAAGTAAAACCGCCCAATGCAAAACATACTTTTGTTGATGAAGACTTGGTAAGCCTCGGAAAAACCATGAAATCTGCACTAGATCGATCAATTAATGATGGTGTAAATGATCTAGTAATCTGTGGACTCCAAATAACAGGTAATATTTTTATAAATAGAAATGGTTCATACTTTTTTTAACATCGATTATAAAGATTTACTCTCAGGATTTATCGGAATGGCATATGTTATGGACTTAAATTTTCATGGCGTATATCGTATGTTTATGGTTGGGGAATTTAGAATTCCTGAAAGTCATACGTCATGGGGAACTATATTGGGATGTTATCAAACGTTAGCACTGATCAAAGTAAGTTTGTATACAGTATAATTAATCATGCGAAAATTGCATATGGTTAATATTAAAATATTCTGTACAGAGCATTGTGGAGAAGGGAGCTGTTCACTATCAGTCCATTGTAAGACACAATACAAATAAAGAGGTATCTGGAAAAGCAAAATGGATGCGGCCTATGTTTCATACTCCTATGAGAATACCATTGTCTTCTGCATAATTGTGAAAGATACAAATTTCTTGATAACATTGATTATAATGCTATTGTAAAAACTAATGATAACTTTTTCAGCACTAGTAATAATTTTTAATAACATAAATGATATTAAAATTTTTAGCACTATAATGGTATATATTTTGTATAAGATTTAATAATTTAGAATTAAAATTTTATTTTCAAATTTTTGAGTTCAAATTTATTTTTATATTTGTTATATTAAAAAACAATTTGATAAATGAAGGTGCTAGTAGAAACTAAGCAAATTGTTTTTAGTAAGTTTTTTTAAAACTTTAAATTAAATATTTCAATAATTATTAAACCAAACTTGATAAAATTTTTTTATTTTAATTTTATAACTATATAGAATTAAATTAAAAAATTTTTATTAAGTTTGGTTTAATTATTGTTGAGATATTTTAGTCAAAGTTTAAAAAAAAATAGAAACAATTTGCTTGGTTTCTACTAACACTCTCAAATGATAATTTATTATAATTGATACCAGGCTTACCCAATAATTAATTGCAATTAAATTTTATTATATGCATAAACAATTAAAAAATAATAATCAAGTTCAATAAATGATGGAATTATTTTTAATTTTTGCTTATAGTTAATAGCTGTAGAGTTGATTGTTTTTATTGTGGTATAAGTTATATATAAAACGTGTCAAAGTAGTGAAGCAAAGCATTGTTTGCAAACACATCTTATTCTAATATAATTCATTCTCCATGTAAGCTAAAAATTTATACTAGCAATCTTTATATCAGTAAATTATTTAATTATGATGAAAATATAACGATATTATTACTTCAGTTCATGGAAATAAAGAATTTTATTTTTTAAACTAATTATATGTTTTTTTTTATTATTTAATTTGAATTTATTTAACCATCCACTTAATTTGAATTTATTTAACTATCCACTTAATTTGATGAAAATCAGCACTTTATGAATTACTAATATTGATATAAATTTGACAACTACAATGAAAAACTTTTAGCAGTACATATGAGATCAATAAAATTTTCATCCTAATTATGCAACAAATATTCAATCTATCAATAATAAATCACCATTTTATCAGAGATGTTACCAACACTTTCTAATTCTTGACACATTACAGCCAGCTTATCTAAACATAGTTCTTGACAAATCCCCTGCTTCAATTGTAGAGTACTTACAACTTGAAAGTGTTAAGAACATCAATGCTACAAAAGGTACATTTCATATTGAATGGTCTTTATTTGTTAAGAAAATTTTCTGTAAAAATAATAAAAAAATGCTGGATCACATAAACTTTTATTTGACGTATTTACCGGTTTTTGAATGAAAGGAATAATATTAGGATCATATCTTTAAAGGAAAGATTACATATATTTATATCTTAAGATGTACGTACGTATATAGATAATTAATCAACGAATATACATAGTTAATCAACGACACCCCATATTACGAATATATATATATAGTGTACTGGACAAAAGATAATTTAGTACTGTATTTTATAAAATAGATAATTTCGTACTGGATTGTACAGAATTTAAAGTAAAGATCGAACTATTTATATACTGTAAATACTAAATCGCTAACCACCAATCGGGGCATGGTTACGGATAATTCGACCTTCTGATCTCATTTTATTTTGACACATCTATACAATGTAAACAGTCGAATTTCTTTATATCGAACTTTTTTATAAAGAGCTTACTCTATAATAAACTTTTTTTAACAAATTTATTATCAGTCGGCCGACATGTCGTTTACAATTGCAGACTTATTGATCAAATTAATTGACGTACTTAAATTTTATAA